ATAGATAATATTTATCATATTATACATATTTAATAAAAAAAATTATGAAAAGATGTAACAAAAAAAAAAAATAAAAGAAAATAATACATAGTTTTTGATCTCTATGTAAGATAGATCTTAAATTATTTAACTAGAAAGAAATTTAATAAAAAATTTTGATTAGATTAATAATTAAATTAAAATACATGTGTGCATTGGAATCCCTCGACTATTGTCTTTTCAAGCATTGAAATCTTTTGATCATTGTCTATGCAAGCATTGAAATTTCTCGATTATCGATTTTGTTTTGCTAATTAATTGAAACACACCTCTTTTACATTACTGATCGAATTGAACTTTCTCTGATTTAATACTATTATCGTTAGATTAATTGGAAAATAAAAAAGTAACGATGATAAATCTAGGATGTAGTTATCTAAAGTATTAAACATAAAAAGAAAGACGGATACATACACACACACACACACTTTTATGGAGAAAAAGAGAAAAATGAAAATTCGTTTAATTACGAACACATACTTAGCCACTTAAAATAAATTATTAATGGCCAACGTAATTCTAAGCTTTTCCGATAAAAATATTTTCTGATTGATTCACCTAATGATACGTAGATGGATATAATTCTTATTAGATATTATAAAGAATTCATTCGAAATGGAAAGTAAGCGGAAAGTGAAAGAGTCGGTCGTGAGATGGACATACGATTTCACTTTGCTTCACCATGTTCGTATTCTCTCTTTTATTTTAAACGATTCCAAAGCGTTCGATGCTCCCTCTAAAAGGAGAAGCATTTGTGCATTTAATCGAACATCGAAAGATTAATCTTGTTAATCTAATGCGTACAAATTTGTAGTCTCTAAGGACGATAAGTAACAACTTTTCTTTTCGAAACTAAAAGATATAATTTAAAGTTTATTTGATTTTAATTAATTACGACGAAGAACGATTACCCTTCAACGTAATCAGAGTAGATCGATGGAAAGTCTTTTTTGATGTAAATACTATAACACAGGGCGAAATAAAATTGTTTAAAAATGATTTTAACAATTAATTATTATTGACAAAATTAACATAAAGAAATGTGGAACTAATATTAGTAATTAATTTTTATTATATTATTATTTAGAAATTTATGGCCCATTTAAAAACTCTTGGACCATAATGTAAAATTAATTTCTCATAATTCATAGATATATTATATTAAATTTTATAGATTAATGTTAATTAACTTAAAAACTCTTGGACCATGATGTACAATTAATTTTTCATAATTAATAGATATTATATTAAATTTTATAGTTTAATGTTAATTATCTAATATAAGATGAACATTTTTATCTTTTAGTATTTTTCTTGTTATTAATAAATATATGAATAGCAAATAGGTGCATATTTTTTAAATTAATTATCTAAACAAAACATTATCATAATTATTATCAAGAGTCGTGAAAATATTTGTTATTTAAATGTGTTAAATTTATAAGTATTAAGAAAATTTATTTTTTATATAACAAAATTAAAAATATCAAGAAAGTATTTTGATACTAAAATTAAAAAAAAAACTTACAAAAGTGAATTTAACTTTTACGACCATCAAATGGGTCATTAATACTTATAAATATTTATGCATTTCTCATATATTTGCAGAAGGTAATTCAAAGAAACTAATAATATTCCAATAAACACGTAGATTTAACTTTCCAATTGTCGGGAAATGTCATTGAGTCTATTAAAAGTTTTATTTCTTTTATCTTCATCATTTGTTTTTAGATGTCAATTAGATACAGAAAGTTTAATGCAGATATTAGGTAAAATGTGTACAATTAACACGCGTCTAATTATATATATGTAAACATTTATTAATTATTTATCAGACCATACAAGAGAGAATACACGATGCCGAATAATAAATAATTCGAATCAGAAACAATCGCAAATGAAAAACGTAACTTTCACTTTATAGGATATTTCATGAAATTTCATTTAATAACGTATTAACATAATCTCTTACCATTCCGATATAAATCTCGATCTAGATCATTTGAAATTGATTGTTGATTAATCGAAATCACTAATTATTAATTAGTATTAATGATTTAAAATCAAATTTCTCTGCATTTGTCTAATCACAAATTTACAAATTAAAGGTTAAAATTAATGAAGTAATGTGGAAAATATTTTCTTAACGAGCTGCGATGAAAGGTGAATGATAAATTACTTAGAATCATTATTTTTATATTAATTTATACACAATATAATATATTATACAGAAAATAACATTACGACAATGCGTATCGTTGAATTATGCGTAATTGGAGCTCGAGAAAGTGGCCGATACGGGATGAGGAACCGAAACTTCTCGAAGGACCATTTTCTCTGCTCATGAAATACGAAGTAAATTATGTATATGGGTGTATATATATATGTACATATATGTATATATAACTCTTTGTGAAAGTTCCTCCTCTCATATTGTATATTACTCCTGTGGGTGTGATAATAATGTGACATTTACCATGAGAATAATTTAATTTCCTTATTCTTATGTTACTTTGTTATTTCTTGTTCCCATCAAATTTAACAGTTAAATTATGACCTATAAAAAAATCCTTGACTGGGCATAGAAAAATTTATTGTCATATCCGATTTTGCAGAGATAATACTGATTGGATTTTAATTTTTTGACGTATACGTTTATGTATTGTTTTTGTGTTTTTTTTTAAATTAGAACGTGGATAAAGCATTGTAGATATAAGAAATAAATTTTGCAAATGATCATTTAAACAAATACGCGTATGTATTTAAACTAATATCAACAAATATGAATGATAATCGAGTTCAACAATCATTCATTAAAAAATAAATTGAATACGATTAAATAACTGCATTCAAACTATAATAACAAAAAAATAAGTGAAAGTAAATAAATCTCTTGATCCTCTATTTGTAAAATAAAAATATATTAAATTAACAAATAAATCGAATAAGATCAGATAATAAGGAAATTTAAAGAAGAAAAAAGGTTGCGAATATTCAGTTAGTTGAAATAATTTTTAAACTAATTTTAATTAGCAACGATTCTTTGATAACATTTGTAGTACCTACGACAATGCGGGCCCAGGGGCCCACGTGTAATCGCAAGTGAGAGCAGAGTACAGAAGGTGGGGCAATGTTAAGGAAGCAAAACATTTGTACGTTCATATTCCGTTCACTGATTGTTTCCGTTTATAAGGCTTGCAAGGTAAGTCACTTTTAGTTATTTACTTGAAGTCGTCGGACTCGAGTAGACGTTCAGGAGAAGAAAAATGTTGAAACTACGAAGATCCGTGGGTGTCTTGATGGATCTTATTATTTCATTATACTTTTTTATTTATTTTCTTCCTTTTATTTTTAATTTATTTATTTTATACTGTTTCTATCATTCGATTATTTTCATGATCATAAAATATCTTACATTGCATATACTATCGAATCAAATTTAAACAAAAAAGAACAACAATAGCAAATGATCGAACTTTCTAGATTACAAATTTTGTTAACATTATCTTCCTTTTATTCCAATATTTTTCTAATCCATAAATAATTAATTAATGCACAATTTAAAAAAATGAAACAAAAGAGAACAAATTTTATGTTGAAATAGAGGAGTTTTTTATACGTTGATCTTTTAAGATTATAAAATTTTAAAAATATTATCTCTCTTGTATTTTAATTTTTGCTAAACAAATAAACAACTAATTAATGCAAAATAAAGAAAAATATACAAAAAGTACTAATTGTATATCAAATATTACGTTTCGATATATCTATTTTCGAGATTCTCAAATAAATAAAATACTTTATCTTTCGCGATCGTAAAAATGACGACAAATGTTATATAATTATTTATTTCAATATTTATTCAATTAAATTTTGTTCTTCAAATTTTCTTCTAACATATTTTTCATTATTATATATTATGATTATTTTTTCAGATCCTATTTCTAATGGTGTTCACAATGGCATTGGTAACATCGATGCCTCGTCCAGGTGGTGGTGGACACGAGCAGTAAATGATTTAAATATCGTTAAAGAATATAAATAAATTTTCCAAGAGTTCATAAATGTAAATATAATTTTCAGCACACACTTTGTAATACACGTGCCACATTTTATCCATAAGCATCATCATACGCACGTTAAGAAAATTTATATACCGGTAGAATCGCACGATGATGATCATCATCATGAATACGAAGAAGATGGATGGTGAAAAACAA